CTGAGATGTGTGAATGCTGCTGAGGGGAGAAAACCACAACTTGAGGGATTCCGGTGGTCTGCTTTGGATTGCCTAGTATGGCTGCTGGGTGCAAGACCAAGGTTAAACTGGTTAGAATTAAGGGTTGCGGTCATTCGTATTTATTTATTTATAAAATTGGCCACCCATCTAACCATAGGATAACTCTGGGACAGTTACAACTGAATTAAAACATAAAATGTTAAAATCAAATCTTACAACTTAAGACACAGGGGGAGGTGGAATCTGTTATTACTCAATCAACCACCTTCGTTGCCCTGATCCCCCACTGCGGCCCCAATTGGCACAGTCATGTCTTTAGGCCCTTAAGAGAAGATAGAAGGGTTGGGGCCCAACCCCACATCGGGGGGGGGGGGGGAGAGATGTCCCAACAGGTAAGAGCAATGGCTGAGATCATCCTCCTGGATCCTGCCAGCTGGAATAATCGGGTTGACGGGACCCACAGCAGGCCTCATCTGCTGGCACGAGTGGTACGGGCCAATCCCAGTGGGGTGAGACCCTCCCTCAAGTAACCTGGACCCAGGCCATTTATGCCAGATCACAAATTAACTACAAACGGCATCGGCTGAGATGCATTGTGCACGGCTCCCTCTTCTTTTTCTTTCAGAAAAAATATTCGGATCTCTCACCCCCCGATGTGAAAAATGTCAGAACATCGTGAAGCCAGGTGAGCATCCCACCCGGTCACCCGTCAAAGCAGCGTCCTGGGATCTTTGTGCTTCTTGATCAGGTTTCAGGGAACCCTAACCGAAGATTCTGTTTTGTTTTCCTTGGTTCAGACATCGTGTTTTTTGGGGAGAATCTGCCCCCTCGTTTCTTCACTCTCATGCAGTCGGTAAGTGCTTCAGTCGTTTGTCCTTGGACTCGGAACGCCGGCAGCCCCACGTTGGAGGTCTCCCAAGAGCCAGGATTTCTGAGTCCTTATTTTAGGGGTTAAAATTTCCCAGACGAACTCATGTTAGTCCTGTATGCTAATTTATCAGATGGGATAAATTCTTCCCACTTCATCCCTAATTGGTTAGGATGAATAAATCTGGTGAGAGAAAATATGGCACAAAAGGAGCTATGTTTTAGGCTACAAACAGAGATAAAGGATGCAACATTCAGCTTCGTTGGAGTTATAGGTCAAAGCAATTTATCCAGAGAGCACGATTTCAGAGAAAGAGACTTTGAAACCAGATTAGAACCTGGGGTGCAGTTCTGTGGGGCCCGCCATCCTTCACGCAAACCTTCTGCTTGCAGGATTTCCAGAATGCAGACATGCTTATTATCATGGGCACCTCACTTCAGGTCCAGCCTTTTGCCTCCCTGGTCAGCAGGTCAGTGAACCTGGGCTGCTCAAGCAAGGGCTCGGTTTTCTGAACTGAGACGCCGCAGGCATCATTGCCAAATTGCTCCTCTTCTCTGTTTCTTCCAGGGTACCTGCAAACACACCACGGCTTCTGATCAATAAGGAGAAGACGGGAGAGGTAAGGTTAGGTTTGCAGCCTGCTTGCTTTGGTTTGCTGCAGATTGGAAGCTCCTGGGGGAAAGAGCAGGGGTGGGAGGCCATGGCAGCTTTCCAGGCTGTGGACTTAATAATAATAATAATAATAATAATAATAATAATAATAATAGTAGTAGTAGTAGTAGTAGTAGTAGTAGTAGTAGTAGTAGTAGTAGTAGTACTACTAGTAAAGTTGGAAGGGACTTTTTTTTTATTGAAAAGTTTTATAAAAATTACAATATAAACCCCTAAACCCACCCACCCTAATCTCCCCTCTCTCCCTCCCCCACTTCCCAGAGCTAAATACAGGGTTACAAATATAATAATCATAATCTAACTAACATTAACCAACTATATAAATAACCAAGTCCATAATGCGCTTTAACTCCCCTTTAGCATAAATATAATAATAATAATTAAAACAAAAACAAATTAGTATCCTAATTATTAAACAATAGAATATCCATATTGTTAAACAATACTAATACTAAAAGTAATAATATCATATAATTAAAACTAACAAAAATTTCACTATAATAAACTATTAATACTAATAATACTCTAAAATTTACCTTGACCTTGAAGGTCATCTAGTCCATCCCCCTGCTCAGGCAGGAAACCCTATACCATTTCGGACAAATGGCTGTCCAGTCTCTTCTTAAAAACTTCCAGTGTTGGAGCATTCACCGCTTCTGGAGGCAGGCTGTTCCACTGGTTCATGTTCTCACTGTCAGGAAGTTTCTCCTTAGTTCTAGGTTGCTTCTCTCCTTGGTTAGTTTCCATCCGTTGCTTCTTAGCCTACCTTCAAATGCTTTGGAATAGCTTGACTCCCTCTTCTTTGGGGCAGCCCCTGAGATACTGGAACCCTGCTATCCTGTCCCCCCTCGTCCTTCTCTTCATTAAACTAGACATACCCAATTCCAGCAACCGTTCCTTATATGCTTTAGCCTTCAACTCCCAGAATTCCTGAGCTGGCATTACTTCTATGAATCAGGAAGGCATCTGCTTGAGCTGCTTCCGAATGCTGCTGTCTTGTTGCTCTGGACTTTTTTTTATATATATATATATAAAAAGCTTTTTAGCGTAGGCAACATCGCCTGCGTATCCCCCTCCGGGTCATCTTCCCTACTCTCTATCCCAGAGGTGGGCAATTATGGCAACTTTACCACCTGTGGACTTCCAACTCCCAGAATTCCTGAGCCAGCTTATATAATGATGGTTCTCTGCTAATCCCCCATCTTAAAATTGTCACCATCTTGGAGCCCTCCTAGAGGACATTCTTACATTTTTGGTCTCATTTCAGAGTGATCCTTTCATGTCCCTGATGGGCTTAGGCTGCGGGATGGATTTTGATTCGGAG